CCTACAGGATTTCAAGCTTCACTTTTCAAGGGACTATTACAGTCTGAACAAGCATTTGTTCCCAACATTTCCCTCTGGAGCCTCTCTGAGACAGATGAAAGAGGGAAAGGAATCTTTTTTATAAAGTGGAAGGCGCACTCGCCAGAAGCAATTACAGACCGGCAAAGAAAGCATCCTTTAAAATTTGGGGTTTTGTAGAACATAATCCTATCACATAAAATATTCTGTTAAACAAAGCCTTCCTTACAAGATGAGGCTGCATTAGAATTCAGACGTATTCTGTACGCCAGCAAAAGAAGTACGTCCTTTCCAGACTGCTTTATGCGTCCTCTGCATATGCCTGTAACTGATACAATACCCACGGCCCAGAGGAAGGAATTGAGGACTGGAAATAAGGATACTTGGACTTTAGACTTGCTTGCTACTAAGTACCTGGGTGACCTTGTACTCGCAGGTACAAGGAAACTTTTCTGAACTTGTTTTCTGTGGTAGAAATAAGTTATAGAACCAGCTCATGTCCAAGTGTCCTTGTGGTCCAAACATTCTGCTCTGTTTTTCCTGATTTTATTGTTTCTTTCTAGACTTGGCACAGAGTTAAGAATGCAGTAGGCAGTTATTAAATATTACAGCAGGATTACCCTTAGCACTTGGAGAGAAAAAGTGAAAATTCATGTGCTAACATTTTCTTCCTTGGCACACAGCCCATGTATGTATGTGTATCTGTGTGTGTGTATCTGTGTGTGTGTACGAGAGAGAGAAAGAGAGAGAGAGAGAGAGAGAGAGAGAGATGGAGTCTAGCTCTTGTTGCCCAGGCTGGAGTGCAATGGCATGATCTCAGCTCACTGTAACCTCCGCCACATGGGTTCAAGCGATTCTCCTACCTCAGCCTCCCCGGTAGCTGGGATTACAGGCACATGCCACCATGTCCAGCTAATTTTTGTATTTTTAGTAGGGATGGGGTTTCGCCATGTTGGCCAGGCTGGTCTCGAACTCCTGACCTCGTGATCCGCCCACCTCGGCCTCCCAAAGTGCTGAGATTACAGGCATGAGCCACCGTGCCCGGCTCAACAATCCACATTTCTAAGGTACCTATTAGGTGTTGGGCACTGTTATGTGGTGGAGACACAGTCAGCAAAACAGAAACAGTCTTTGCTCTTTGAAGCTAAGAGGAACATCAGATAATTAAGCGGGTGATGACTATCAAGTTTGACAGGTGTGGTGACCTCGGAGATAGCCAGCTTCGAGGTGCTGTGATTTTAAAGCTGGACCAACCACTGGAAGATGCTAATTGTACTGATGTGTCAGCTCCTTTAGACAACCCTCCCTGGCCCTTTCCAACATCCTTAGCTCAGGCTGGATGAGGTGTTTCCCCTCTGGGCTCTCACTAGATCCAGTGCCAACTTCCACCAGATCCCTAGTACATTGAACTGAAAGTGTCTGCACATATGTATTCACTCCATTAAATGCACAGTTCTCAAGAAGACAGGTCATTTCCATTATTTCTTTGTGCCTCTACCCAATACACCTATTTTAAGACATAGAACAGTTGCTGATGTTTTGTTGGGGCCCAGAAAATATTTGTTGACTAGACATACCAGGCGGTAGAACTCTAATCATTAGAGTCCAATCAGCCCAGAAGTCAGGGACCAGCCCTAGCCAACTAACTACTGTCTTGCATGGAAAACGTCTATATAAAAGTAATTATTTGGTTACCTTCATTCTCACTCAGATTTACCTTTTACTGCTCAAATATTTTCTCCTTTACCAAGCCATAGAGAGCATTGAGCCCTAAAGAGATGATGTTGGAAAAGCCCTTTGACCTCTCTGCAACAAGGTGAATACATACACACACACACGATAACTTTACATTCCTCTGACTTTTTCTTTTCAATATTGAGTTCTTATCAGCAGTTGACCCTGATCTCCCACTTCAGGGAATATGCTTCTAATAAACTCAGTAGAAAGTCAAAATAGATAAAATTCTTCTAAGACAACTCTAAGGCATTGGCATTGTCTTGCTGGTGTCCTGAAGGCACCCCAGCAGCATCCTGATCAAGCTCAGGGTTCCTACCACTGCTAAGCAACCTCTTTTCCAGTCTGAATCAGGAAAGAAGCTTTCTGAGTCTGTGGATGGCTGGGAGCAGGGAATCTGCAGGTTAGTTGCTGTCCAGCTCCTTTGATTCCTCCATTGTTTGTCCCTGACCCATTAGTCTATCTTTTCTTCCTTCAGCTCCCACTTGCTCTTGCCAAGCCGAGGCTCTCTGTTCTCTGAAAGCCCAACTTATCTTCCACCTCCTTGCCTTTGCACAAATTGAACTCTGGCATCCAAACTTTCTCACCCTCTCTGCATATTCAAATATTTCTTATTTTCAAAGTTAAAGTCACAGGGCAAATGCTTCAAAATGTCTTTTCTGATTATTCCAACTTCATATAGTTTCTCCGTCCTCTGAGCTTTCTATGGAGGCTTCTGTTTGTACATATACTTCTAATTACTTCCTGCCTGGTGCTTTGGGAGTTCATGGACTGCTCTCATCTTCTCTGCTAGCTGCAAGTTCACTGAGGACTAATTCATTGCTACATTCCCACACCCAGGACAGAGAGGATGCTCAGAACATTTGAGGCTGAGGCAGGGATGGGTTCTTCCACCCACTCTTGCACTTCTCATTCTTCAAAATAATGGACACATCTGCTGTTTGAAAGGAGTAAGGGAGAACCGAGAGGACTGGTTGCTGTAGAATTGCTATAGCGCTTCCTCGGATTGGGTCCTTTGTTCTCTCTAGGCTTCCCCCAAGCTAGGCTGATTCTTGCGTGGAAAGCACTCAATCCCAAGGGGAAAGTGTGGGTAAAGGCACAGAGATGTGAGCAGGCTGTGACTTCTGGAAACCACAGAATGACTTGAATGCAGAGTCTAAAGTGAGAGATGACATGTAACTGGAAAGATAGAAGCATCCTCAGATGCTAGAGACAATTATATGTTGTGTCGGAAGATGAGACTTCATCCCATGGCCAATGAGGGGCCCCCAAGGAAGGTAAGCAGAGGAGGCAACAGTTTGTCCCTGAAAGATGACTCTGGCTGTTTTGTGAACAAAGAGGGGTGGGAAATGGGGGTCAGGGAGATTAGCTAAAAGAAAGTTAGTTAGACTCCTAGACTGTACTGTATCTTTTGGTTTACCCTGGATGGGTGAAGGAGAAATAGTAAATTTAGATGGCATGCAACACTTTATTTGCAATTAAAAAATATCTGAGAAACCAATGGGCTAACTGTACTCAAAAGCCTTCCAAAACCCCAGGCTACACACAAATATAAGATACACATTCCCTCCGGCTAAGGGAAAGACGAAGCTTTAAATTAAGTACTATTTCTAGGTACATCTGCCTGTTCATTTTTTTTTCATACAGTGATTGACACCTGTTTTTAGCTGAAACATTCATTCTTCCCCAGAAAGTGAGGAAGAGGACACAGAGCTTGCTAAGCCAGGGCAAGAAAGTAAGTCACAGATCATTCAACAGGTAAGCGTTATTTTAAAGTAAAAAATTCCAAAGTGGTTTTCGTTTAACTCTTTTAAACAAACAATAACAAACATGAGTTTGTTTCACTCATATGTATTTCATTTCTGTCTTGGATTCATGGCAAAGCCCCAGGTAAATAACTACCACTCACTGAGTAAGGTATATGCCTTCATTTCAGCTACCTTTCTCTGCTGTTTGGAATATTCTGCTTTCCTGTGGCTGCCATTTTTAGAACCTTAGAAATCATATGTAAAGAGGGTTGATCAGTGGGGAGAAATTTGAGTTGAGGATGTGGTATAGTTTGGATGTGTGTCCCCTGCTCAATCTCATATTAAAATGTAATCCCCATTATTGAAGGTGGGGACAGGTGGAAGGTAATTGACTCATGGGGACAGATTTCTCATGAATAGTTTAGCACCATCCTCCTGTGTACTGTCCTCATGATAGTGATAAGTTCTTGTGAGATCTGGGCATTTGAAAGTGTGTAGCACCTCTCCCCTTGCACCCTCTGGCTCTTACTTTTGCCATGTGACATGCCTACTGCCTGTTCACCTTCCGTCATAATTGTAAGTTTCCTGAGGCTTCCCCAGAAGCCAAGCAGATGCCAGCATCATGCTTCTGTATAGTTTGCAGACCGGGAGCTAATTAAATCTCTTTTCTTTGTAAATTACCTAGTCTTAGGTATTTCTTTACAGCAATGCAAGAACAATCCTAATACAGGAAGAGACTCAGAGCTGGTGCCCTGTGTTGCTGCAGCGCTTCCCTCTTAGCTGGGCAGAACTCTTCATTTGGGTCTCGTAGAGCATAATCCTATCACATTAAATATTCTGTTAAATAAAGCTGTACATGGAAGATGAGGCTGCTTTAAAATTCAGATGCATTACTTACGCTAGCAAAAGAAATCAGTCTTTTACAGAATCCTTTGTGCTTCCCTTACATATCTATAGCTGATAGAAGATAATTGATGAGACCCCCACATGGCAGAAATTCCTTTTTGGAGTCTTGTATGAATTCTCTAATCTCCATTTTCCCATCTAAAAAGGTTAAAAATAATGACAGATGACCTTTGGAGCTTGTTACTCTATCACTGGGGCTGGAAACTATGGTTTGTAAACAAAATCAAGCATGCCACTAATTTTTGTATGGCCAGAGAGCTAAGAATGGTTTTTACATTATTATTATTATTATTATTATTATTATTATTATTATTTTGAGGTGGATTTTCACTCTTGTTGCCCAGGCTGGAGTGCAATGGAACAATCTCAGCTCACTACAACCTCCTCCACCTGGGTTCAAGGGATTCTCCTGCCTCAGCCTCCCAAGTAGCTGGGATTGCAGCCATGCACTACTACACCTGGCTAATTTTGTGTATTTTTAGCCGAGATAGGGTTTCACCATGTTGGTCTGAAACTCCTGACCTCAAGTGATCCACCCACCTTGGCCTCCCAATGTGATGGGACTACAGGCATAAGCCACCGTGTCCAGCAAGGTTTTACATTTCTAAATGATTGAAAAAAAATCAAAACAATAATAATAGATTGTGACACATGAAAAGGATATAAATCAGATTTTGGTGTCTGTAAATAACGTTTCTTGGAATATAGTCACTTGTTTGTTAACCAGTGGTCTACAGCTGCCTTCCACTGTGGTGACAGAATTGGGAAGTCGACAAAGAGACTAAATGGCCTGCAAAGCCTAACATATTTGTTACCTGGCCCTTTACAGAAAAGAATTTCTGACCCATGCTCTGTCTACTTGACAACCCTACATGTGTGTTTCCACCAGCGTTTCCATTTTACAGGTGAGGAGGCTGGGGCACAGAGGATAACATGCTCTAGTGAGCACAGCTAGGAAGTGGATTCACCGTCTATACCACCCAGTCAGACTCCAAAGGGTATACTCTTATTCTTTATATACTATACGTCCAAGCTTCAACTCCCCCCAAAGAGAAATTGGTTAAAGGTTAAAAAAATAAAATACTGTTAGATGGAAGAAATTAGTTCTAGTATTTGATAGTACAGAAGGGAGCTTATAATTATCACTAATTTATTATCTATTTCAAAATGTAACTAAAAGAGAAGAATTATAACATTCCCAATACAAAGAAAAGATCAGCTTTTGAGGCGATGGATATCCTAATTTCCATGATTTGATTACTAAACATTGTATGTGGGTATCAAAATATCACACATATCCCCAAATATTTACAATTATTATTTATTAAAAATAAATAAATCTAAACCGAGTTGAGGTCTCGTTCCCTCTGACAAGTCTTGCTCCACTATTTTAACTTCGATTATTCTCTTTCTCCTAGCAAATTCTGAAATCACTCCCTGTCTGTCCTATTCCTTTTGGCCCTTAGTCATGTACTACTGCAGTCACTTACTTGTTCTGCTATCCCAATAGAACACAAAGCCCATTGAGAGCAGGCAATGTGCCTGCTTTTACACCCCAGCCATTGGCACAGGACCTGACTCATGGTAGGAGCTCAGAACAAATGCCACTGATTGAACAAATATGACTTAGCAGGCCAGTGTGATTCTTCTCCCCTCTACTAAAGCAAGCTCATTTATAACAAAGATTAAAACTTCCACTCCTAGTGTTTTTCCTCACAGGGAAGAGCAACATGCTAGCCCTCAATGGTCCATTATTAGAGATTGCCCCTATATTGAAAAGAAAAATAACGACATTATAACCCTCATTTATTGACAACGGTGTTTGACCCAACCCACCCAGGACAACCTCCTGCCTTGAGGTTGTTCAGACATGCCATTTCTCAGTGAATTTCAAGTCTCTTTTCTAGAGCCTGTACTGACTTCCTCCTATCTACAGAATTAAGTCCAGTTTCCTCAGCTTGGCTTTCAGAACCCTCAGCGGTTTGATCCCAAGACAACTCTCCAGCTACATCTTTTCTGTCTCCTCACATTAGACTTTCTACCATCTCCCAAGCTGCCACCCTTAGCCTTCAACCACACTTTCCATCACGCTATTCCCCATCCTATGTCCCCAGTCATTATATCTTTGAATGCCTAATGTCATGGGGAAATGCAACCTCTCCAAGGACAGACACTGCCTCAGTCCCCTCCTCTTGTCCTGCAGGGTTTAACCCAGTGACTGTATGCAATCAATGCTCAAGAATGGCTTGCTTGTTGCTATGGTTCTAGTCTGTTATCCATCCACCTGTTTTCATCTAAATCCTCTGACTGCAGAGGGGTAGGAACACTGCAAGAAGGCAGGAAAAGGAACAAAGGCCTGTGTGCCTCCAGTCTTCAGGTTTATCCATTCATCCAGCATTTATTAAACACCTACAGTGTGCCAGAACTCTGTTGAGAACTTTGCATTTATTATCTCTCCTAATATTTATAACATCTCAGTGAGGTAGATACTATTATTAGCTTCATTAGACAAAAGGGTTAACCTAGGCTCAGAGAGGTGTATAATTTGCCCAAGGTCATACAGCTGTTTGTGTCTGCCCAATGGAACAAAATGTATGATTTTTCTATTACATGGCATCATCCCAAAACAAAGACCTTGCCACCAGAGAGCTGAGGGAGAAAACCTGTGAAACTCAAGAAAATAAATCATAACTCCCTGAGCATGTAAAACAAAGGAAGTACAAGTGGCTTATTCACATACAGATTTTCTTTTTTAAAAATGTGAAATGAGGAACTCTACAAACTTGGGTGGGGTTTTTAACATGGTTGGCCTAGCTGAAACAGAGGAGGAAGTGAAAATCAAAGGAAGGAATGAAACATTGATTTTGGGTGAATAACTCTTTATTATCACAGATGTTCTAGGTTTTTTCAAACTCATTAAAGTCTGTGTTCCAAACAGAAAACTTCAGGAAATTTAGGGGCTGGCCATGACAATATACTGCTCAGGTCTCCTGCCATGAGAAGCTGACTGAATGCCCCAGCTACTGATATCTGCTGTGTTCATGTCATGCCACACCTCCCCTAGGCACCACCCAGCCAGTGACTAAACACCACAAGGAGACTGGTCTGGACCCGTTACTTAAGGTAACAGTCCCTAGCCTTTTTGGCATCAGGGACCAGTTTCATAGAAGACAAATTTTCCATAGACACATGGGATTCGGGGAGATGGTTTTGAGATGATTCAATTGCATTACATTTATTGTGTGCTTTATTTCTATTAATATTATTACTACATTGTAATGTATAATGAAATAACTATACAACTCACCATAATGTAGAATTGGTGGGAGCCCTGGGCATGTTTTCCTAGAACTAGATGATCCCATCTGGAAGTGATGGGAAACAGGGACAGATCATAAGGCATTAGATTCTCATAAGGAACAAGCAACCTAGAGCCCTCACATGAGCAGTTCACAATAGAGAACACTTATGAGAATCTAATGCCACTGCTAATAGGACAGAGGGTGGAGCTCAGGAAGTAATGCAAGCAATGGGGAGCAGCTGTAAATACAGATGAAGCTTCAATGGCTGGGCCACCACTCACTTCCTGCTCTGCGGACCAGTTCCTAACAGGACACAGATCAGTAGAGGTCCATGCCCCAGGGACTGGGGATCTCTGTTTTAAGGCATGAAAGTATTCAGATAGGCTCAAGAACTCCCTCTGATCATGCCAAATACTAGAATTTAGAGCTGTACTACAATCTGAGACTCTGCCACTAAATTTTTTTTCCTCCTCCTCTCCTTTCACAGATGTGAGACCCGCAGCAGGTCTGAAGCCTCTCCCTGCCTTTTCCTACTTCCTCTCTTTTTCTTCACAGGTGTTTCCTCCAATAAATTTCCTGCACAGTTAATCCTACCCTCTCTGTGTGCTTCTCAGAGGGCCCAAACTTCCACATTAGTTCATTCAGACTTTCAGATAATCACAGTGTTTTTTTTTTTGTTTTTTTGTTTTTTTAACGCATCTTCAGAGAGTTGGAAAGAATTGATCATAGAGAAACAACAATTCTCATACCCTTTGCCCAAGAAATTTCTGATTTCTGAAAAAACTCCTCAAATACCACAGCAACTACAATAATTGCTATGATGAAATATTTTTATCTTTTACTCTGGAATAACCAGCTGAACAACATGAATGGCTGTTTGCTCCCTTCAGAGATCAGAAAGCTAAGCCCCAGCACAGTGAGATGACCTGTGTGAAGTGCCACGATGTTAGTGAACAGGTATGGTGAACCAACACTGCCCAGCTCCTGGCTTCATAGGCACTTCACGCTGCAGCGTTATATGATTTCATGTTTCACACCAACTGCAGGACACAATCAATTCAAAAAACCTGAAGTGACAATTTTGAGTAACATAATCAGTCCGTTTAAACAAGAAACTAATTTTTGCATAGCAAAGAAAGACCTATTTCTTGAGTGTTTTTAAACCACCTTAATTGTCGGGTCAAAGTTTTCAGTGGCATGAGGCCTCATCAGTTGCTCAATATAATCCAAGTGCCCAAGGCCCATTCCAAGACTTTAGAAACCTCCTTACAACATTGGTGAACTGTTGTTGGATGGGCTGACATTGGGATAGCCACATGGCATAATCTATATTTCAAAGGTGACAGCTACAGTTGTCTTTGTAAAAAGTATGTGTTTCAGTGATAAACTGAAGAATATAACATGTCAAAAGCAATTAAAGATAGCATTTATTTCACCCTTACAATGTGCCATGCACCATGCCAGAACCACCCTCGAGTATTGCCCAGTTTTGCAGATGAGGACACTGAGGTTGGAGACATTAAGCCATTTGCCCAATGTGTCACACTAATAAGTGATAGCGAACAGATTCAAGTCAGATTAGACAACCACTCTGCCATTCTATCTTATTCCCCTGAGCATTCCAGATATGAGCACAAAAATTCTCATTTTGGCCTAGCAATGGGGGTAAACAGGACTGAAGCCACAAATAATCCAGAATAACCACTTATGTAAAGAAATGTTTTCCAGTGCTTCATTCAAACTAGATCAACAAAGTGATACCTAAAAATGTGTTGTAGATCATTTGAGCTATGCACTAAGTAAAGGGCATTTATAATTATCTCGTTAAAGGTTTGACAACTAATGCTTCCAAAGTGCTTAGTGCATTTCAAATCATTTCTCTTAAGATTTTTTTTCTGCAGATCCCTGTTATTTTGCTGACATTCTAATGGGGGAGCTTGAAAAGTGATAGGAAACTGCCCAAAGAGATGATTAAAGGGAACAGGTTTATCTCGACTTCCAATCTTGCTTACAAAGGGCTTGGTCACGTCTGTGCATGCAGCCCTTGAGTATGCCATCAGCCTCACCCACGCTGGCCTGTCTTTGACCACACTGGCCAACTCATATCAAAGGATGAATGTGGACAGTGTGACAGGCCGTATTCAATTCTTCCCATGTTAGCAAATTTAGAAAGTCATCTTCAGACTGGAAGAATACCATGGCTGCCTAACCCAGACTCAGAAAAGAGGAAACCAGAGGTCTAGGTGAAAAAAAAAAAAAAAAGAAAAAAAGAAGAAAATTCTATTCATTACTTATTTAGTCATTATTTATCCACCAAAAATATATATTGAGTGCCATTTTCGCCCAGGCACTCTGTTAGGAACTGCTGAAAACAACATACGTGTTTCTCAAGGAAAAGGGAGGGATTGAGAAAGGAAGTACCCTTTGCATCAGGCCCTGTGCTACACTGGCTACTCGCCCTCCTTCCTTGTTTCAGTCCCATGGATGAATCCTGAGTCTTCTCAGCCAACCGTAGTTACCCACTCACTTTGCCAGCCATTTGTTTACAGCTGGATATGTGACACACTTCTGGTCAATGGCATGTAAGGGAAAGTCTGAAAGGGGTCTTCTTGGAAATACTCTCCGCCCAAGTAGAAAGACAAGCATAGGAGAAGAGGCCCTTTTTGCCACCTCTTCCCCTTTCTTCTTGTAGGAGATGATGTTCTGAGAATACAGAATGCATGGGGGTGATGCAGCCATAATGCAGCCATGAGGAGAAACATTGCTGAACCTTGAAGAATGGAAGAACAAACAGAAGGATGGACAGGATGTGGGTCGCCAACGACATCGAAAGGTGGCATGCATCGGAGTCCAGTAAGTATGTGATCAGCTCAGATAGGCCTAATGCTTGTTAAGATTTAAGAAGTGTCAGATTTCATTAATAATATCAACAAACCAAATGAAAACTTACAGTTTCCACTTATTCTAGATCTAGTTTGTGCCAGGCAATGAGCAAAGTGCTTTTCACATTATTTTCATCAGCATAGGAGAGCAAACAGATTCTCAAAAGAGTAAGGTTGGATAGCCACCTCATATTTACCAGAACCAAATGCAGTGTTTAAGTCTCATTCTTCCCCCTTCTTGTTTTAAGAGACCCCTGATGTTCCCATGGTGAGCCACAGTTACCCATCCCATGTGGTTCTGGATGAACCATCAACTTGTGGTGTCTCAGGCCCCTCTTAGATAATTGAGAAATAGTAAACACTGAAAAACTACTGATGTTCTCTCTCTCTGTACACCCCAAAGCACATTTGGCTCATTCTCTTTAACATATAAAATATAATATTTCACGTTGTTCTTTTTCCAAGGCACTACCACATTTTTTTAAAATCACCATCTTTTTAATATATTTTTCAGGACACCACTTATTCTAGATAAATATATCATATTACTAAGGTTCTATTTGGGAGTCAAGCAAAGGTCCAGCCTCCCAAATTCTTTGTGTTCTCACCACTGGCTAGCTCTAGAGGTAAGTGGAGAAGGTGCACAGTTACCAGGAAACAAGAAGTTAGAAGGAAAATATGTGGGAGGAAGAGTTCTCACCACTCACACCTGTTAAAGAAATATTACAAACAAACATAAACTTGGAGAACACAGATTCCTCTGCCAGAAAGTATTGCTCATCCTTAATACTGGAAAGGAATGAAGAGATGAGCTTTGCCTAGAAAGTTTAAGAACATTTTCAGTCTGTTAATGTGGCTTAGCACCTTTCAGATTCTCACTGCTTAGACCATAGAATACAGAGGTCAGCAAACTACAAAACAAGGGCCACATCCCGTCTACCACCTCTTTTTGTAAATAAAGTTTTATTGGAGCACAGCCATGCCTACTTGTTTATGAATTGTCTATGGCTGTTCACACTACAATGGCAGCATTGAGTTTCTGTGACAGGGACAGTCTACTCCACAAAGTCTAAAATATTTTTTACCTGGTCATTTACAGGAAAAGATTGTTGGCCACTGGTCTAGAATAACAATATCAGCAATTATCATCAGTTATTCAAAATCTACATTTATCTAGATTTAGGTCTCAGGACCACTGAAGTCGTTACCCAACCTCGTATTTCTGAAATGAAAGGAACATGGAGCTTAGAAAACTTCATTAACTCACCAAGAAAGAGCAAGGATCCAAACTCAGACTTATTTAGTGACTATTACCTGATGCCCTACTGCATGTTGGGCATGGGCTGAATACCAAGAGCACAATGGTGAACAGCACTCGAATCTCTCTTCACTCTTTGGCAAAAGGGGCAGCCCCTTCTCCATCTGCATGCGCCACCTGGGTGAGTTCTGTTCCCTTCTAGGCATCTCTAGATGCATATTTTTATTTCTGCCAATAGCAGAGATATAGGAGGTGGGGAGGGCTAATAATAGTACTCACACTCAAACAATTTCAATGTCTAAAAAGATTTTAGATACCTGACTTATTTCACTTTCACCAATGCTTTTTGTCCCCTTCAGAGAGGCAGTATCACAAAGTAGTTGAGAATGAAACTTCTGGCACCAAAATACTTGCATTTGAATCCTGTTTGCTGGATGTGTCAACTTGAACAAGTTACTCAACCTCTCTGTGCCTCCATTTTCTCATGTTTAAAATGGGGATTATAAAAGTAAATATATTTTGGGGTTATTAGGAGAATTATTTTCATAAACACATAAAGCACTGAGAATAGTGCCCATAATAGTTAAGTGTTCAAACAATGTTTGCTTTTCATATTGTTTCATGGATGAGCTCAAGAATCTTGGTCAAGGCATGTAGGAAGAGGCAGAGCAAGAGATTCTAAATTCCAACCTCCTCTTCTTAATGCTAGAAATGTCCTGGAACCCAGCCTTCTCTGTCTCTGTCTCTCAGGTCTCACCATTGCCCATCACACATTCTGTTGTTCTTGTCCAAGCTGCAGGTGTTGTTCTGTGATGGAAAATGACCTAGAGCTGGATATCAGAATGGAACACTGCACAGCAACACCCAGAGAAGGAGAAAGAGAAGGAAAAAGAGAAATGAATATGAGAGCATGAGGGCCTATGCAGCATTCTGAGCAGCATCAGGACTTCACTCAGGGGTGGGAGCACCCTGGACAGGGGAATGATTCAGTGCGCCTTCAAGAAAATATGTTTTTAACTGTTTGGCCATCTATGATGTGTGGGGAAATCAGAGAAAGTAGCTTGTTGGTAGCAACCTCAGCCTCCCCTTTGTCCTCTCAAACGATTCTGCTCTGGCCCAGATTTGCATACCATCCTGGCCCTGGCCTGATCCACCATCCCTAGAAAATAACTGTCCGGTACCTCTTTCCACCTTCAGTGTCTTATCAAACATTTCTTCCAAGCAGAATTCTCTGTGCATGGAATATTAATAAATAAACTGTTCCATATCATTAAATTTCCAGTGATGTATTAGAGCCTATTATAGAATCAATCCCCTGGCAACTTCCTATCTAGCTCACCCCTTAATTTGACTCTGAGTAGAGTTATTGTCCATTTACAAGGCTAAGTAAAAAGGCATAATCACAAAGATATGTCCAGAGAATGGAGAGGATCCAAATTATATACCAGTGTGAGCAGAAAGATGTCTTTAATTCAGGGGAATCAGGCTCCTTCCCTACAAAACTTTCCTCCACGTACCTTGCCAAGGGGCCTCCTTATCAAGATATTCATTTTTTAGGAGGAAGCAGCCATTTAAGACATTAACTGATAAAAGACTTAATTGGAGCCAGAAATGTGATTTAAATCCTGATTCCAATATCCATTACTATTTACCTCATTTATAAAGTGGAAATAATTATCCTCACTTTACAAATATCATCACAACATTTGAATGAAATAACATTTTTAAAGTATCATATAACACTTGTTCTATTGCAATTGATCAATAAATATTAGTGTCATTTAAGTAAACAAAGGAGGTAACAGGGTCCAGAAAACTTTGTTTTGCCATGAATCTGCTAAGCAATCAATTGGAAGGAATGTCCAGATGACATTTTTTGAAAGCATTCCTCTCTGTCTACCTGTCATCTCCTGGCAGCTGGTGTCCAGGTGCCCTGATGCCCTGGATGCTGCATGCAGAGTTGGGTGATACAGTGAAATAAATGAGATGCACCCATGACCTCTCTAGGAACAAGAGATTGAAGGGGTCCTTTCTTAAGACCACTCTCTCTGAGTGAGGATCTGAGAAGGCAGAGGTGATGGATAAGGGAGTAGAGATTAAAATGGCAATGGACAAGTAGTGGGAGATTTATGTGTCCACAAACAGCTACATCATCATCCTCACTCACTGAGGCATCCTTTTATGTCCATGGCTGCCTTGCCCTGTGCACCAGCCTTTGGATAAGACAATAACAACAACACAGTGCCTGTGTATTCAGCACTTATTAAGAGCAAGACAACCTACTAGGGGTTTTACTTACGTTCTTTCTTTTAAAACTCCCTCAATTCCCATGAGGTTGGAACTCTAATGATCTTCATTTTGTACATGAGGAAGTAATCTGCTTGAGATCACTAGCAAAGTTGTGAATTAAAGTCAAGGTCACCTGTGTTGTATTTTCTGGTTGATAACATGCTAGAGCATGTGCAACCCAATAAATGATGACAGTGCTGATCAAGGTAAGGAGACAGCCATGGGTTCCAGAGCGGTAACTTAAAGACATCCTTGTCTCCTTAGCACCTCTCTCTGAATTCTCCCCTTAGTCTTCCCTCCTTCCTGGGACCACCGAATTCCTATCTTTTCCATTCTTCTTTCAATTCTAGCTCATCTAGTCGGGAGAAGTTGTGACAGTTACTGAATCATGAGGAGAGGTTCTCATGATTCAGAGGTTCACTGAACCGCTAATGCCTCACCCTACTCTAGTGAGGAAATGTAGCTTTCACATACTCTCTAAGGAGTCAGGGGACTGCGTTTGAGTGCATTCATTTGTCACTGATTACCTGACCTTGGCCAAGTCACTTGATCTCAGTGAGTCTTAGTGGATAATCAACACCTGTTCTACAAACACATCACATTCTCAGAAGGTGGTTGTGACGTCACCTCTTTCTACTACCTTCTCTCATCACATACTCTTTCTTAACAGATTCTACTTCCACTCTACTCTCTCATGTATAGTCCAAAAGCCCAAAGTAATAGCATCTTTTGGAAGAACATCTTCCCAAGTCTCTAAGCTCATCTGGTGCAGTCAGTGCTCTGTACAAGTCCTTTCTTCTGAGAAAGCACAGTGATTTAGTATGTCCAGTTCTCAAACTTGAGTGGGCATCGAGATCCACTGAAAAGCTGTTAAAACTCAGATTTCTGGCCTCTACTGCTAGAGTTTCTGATTCAGTAGGTCTGGAGTGAGGCCAAGAATTTGCATCTCTACCAATTTACCCATTGATGCCAATGCTGCTGGTCCTAGCACCATTTTAAGAACCACTAGTATAGTTTTTTGTTATTAAGCAGGCACCTTCACAGCCAAAAAGAATTGGTCAAACTACCTGAAGTTGCTGCTCAGCTCTTCCACTTTCTAGCTGAGTAACCTTGGGCAGGTCAATTTCTCTGAGCCTCAGTCTCAATCACCATTAAGTGGAGATGATAACAATGCATATCTCACAAAGTTATTGCAACTACTGGGGGAGTTCCTTCACATAGAGCCTTCAGAGTTCTACCTTGCCCTTAGCAAATGCTTAATATTTATGAGTTGTTAAAATTCCAGGGGTTTTAAAGCCCCTGCGATTAACTATCCTGCATTTTCTCACTAGGCTTCACTGTACAACACCCAGGAAAAAAAAACAAACAAAAAAAAACAACAAAAAAAACCTATTGTAATTATTGAATGTATCTCTATACCAGGAGCTTCCCAGAGATGCAGGCAAGCTTCAGAGTAAACCAGTAATTAGAGAATAGCTATGAATCATTCCCAATCTCTGGGCTAGTGGCCAGACAAGTTGAGGCTATTTAGTTTTTTTCTGTAATGAAAGAGCTCATGACACAACAGTGAAAATTCAAAATCTGGACCTGATTAACCTAGTGGGGTAACCTCAAGCAAGTTCAATGCAATTTCCAGGCCTCAGTTTCCTCAGCTGTTACATGGGAACAATAATGTTCACCTCGAACTGAATGAGCTGTTAGCCTGTTTTGTGAGCTATGTCCTTCTAGTTGTAAGAAACCTAGCAGCTACCCAAATGTTTGTGTCTATTACTAATCCAGGCAATCAAGGTGCCACCAATGATCACCTGAGTTCAGCCACTGCTCCCTGTCCCTTGACTCTGCTGCCACCTGAATTCTGTCACATAATGAACCCTCATTTCTGAGAAAGTCCAGGCTCCCTGTATTTCCAGTGAATGCCATTGGCCTATGTACCCAGCTACAGGCCACTCTAAAAAAGTGATGTTTTGCAAAGACTGGACAGAACCACAAACCTCACAGGAGACAAAGTCCATAATTGGGTGCCCATTTTTCTTCCCCTTCTCCTCCAAAAGTCAATTACATTAGTCACTAGTCATGCTTTGAAAAACCTCCAAAAATCCCACAGGAAAGCACCACAAATTGTTTTTATCATTTTGTTCCATTTCTCCTGTTTGCTTAGTAATCCTGGCAATTAGCGTTGTACAAACAAAAACCTTTTAATTCTATTGGGTTCTTGCCTGTGACACTAGGCTCAATGTTAAGGTCCAGGGGTAGGTGGAAAAAGTGCTTTGGATTTAAACTTACTTATAGATGGGCTTAAAACAAAAATGAAAGAACATTTAGCAGTCATTTCTTTATTTATTTAAAAAATATTGAGTGCTTACTGGGTGGGGTGGCAGGCACAGTTCTTAGCTGTTCAGAATGTAACGGAGAATATACCATAGGCTCTGCCCTCTTGTATTAATACCCAATCAAATCATATTCTAGATGATAGAAATAATTAATTGCAGAGTATTTGGCCAGGAAACACTGGCTCTGTCTCCTTCAGTAGTTTAATTTGTATTGGTCAATGTATGAGTATGGAAGGACAAAACTTTAAAAAGATATCTACCTCTTGCTTTTTAATTTTTTTTTTTACTGTCAGAAGAAATAATGACTCTTCACAAATCAGAAAACAAGTAATGGAAAACATTTTACCTAATTCCTTTTAATCGGCTACATTAAACAGCTATTCGTATGTTTATTTATTCCTTCAGTCAATCAATGTTTGTTTTCTGAGACTTTTTATACACCAGGTACTAGAGATATAGCAATGAATGAGACATGCTCCCGGCCCTCCAAGACCTGTTAGTCCACGAGGGTCAGACAATTACCATTCAGAATGGTGAATGGTAGTATGGTTTTTAAGCTGCTGCATGACCATTGGGCAAAAGTAGCTTGCTCCTCTAGACCTCTCCCTCACCACCCTCCGAATCTTGCTTTGTCCGTCTGAAAGAGCATTGTATCTCATGTACTCTCAGTAAACCTGACTCCATATGAAAGCTGTTTTTTATTACCATTACCATTATCAATACGATGATGATGATCATCATCATCATCATCATCACCAACTCCGTTAGGACCTTTGGCCCACAAATACATCAGAATGTGTTTACTGAGTGTAAGTTAGTCTGAGGCATCAGAATCTTTTATTTTTATTTATTTTTTTCAACTTTTACTTTAGGTTCAAGGGAACATGTGCAAGTTTGTTATATAGGCAAACTCTTGTCACGGGGTTTGTTGTACAGATTATTTCATCATCCAGGTACCAAGCATAGTACTCAATAGTTGTTTCTTCTAATCCTCTCCCTCCTCCCACCTTCCACCCTCAAGTGGCCTCACTGGCTGTTGTTCCCATTTGCGTCCATGTGTTCTCATCACTTAGGTCCCACTTACAAGTGAGAACATGCCGTATTTGATTTTCTCTTCTTGTGTTAGTTTGCTGATGACGGCTGCCACCTCCTTCTGTGGTCCTGCAAAGGACATGATCTCATTCTTTTTATGGCCACATAGTATTCCATGGGGTATATGTACAACATTGTCATTATCCAGCCTACCATTAGTGGGCACCTAGTTTGATTCCATGTCTTTGCTATTATGAATAGTGCTGCAATGAACATATGCGAGTGTGTGTCTTCATGGCAGAATGATTTCTATTCCTTTGGGTATATACCTAGTAATGGGATTGCTGAGCTAAATGATAGTTCTGTGTTTTGATCTTTGAGGAATCACCACACTGCTTCCACAATGATTGAACTAATTCTCACTTCCACTGACAGTGTATAATTCTTTTTTCTCTGCAACTTTGCCATCGTCGGTTATTTTTATACTTTTTTTTTTCTTTTGAGACAGAGTCTTACTCTGTCACCAGGCACCAGGCTGGAGTGCAGTGGCACAATCTCGGCTCACTGCAATCTCTGCCTCCTGGGTTCAAGCAATTCTCCTGCCTCAGCCTCCCAGGTAACTGGGACTACAGGCACATGCCACCACTCCCAACTAATTTTTGTATTTTTTAGTAGAGACAGGGTTTCACCATGTTGGCCAGGATGGTCTCGATCTCTTGACCTCATGATCTGCCTGCTTCAGCCTCCCAAAGTGCTGGGATTACAGGCCTGAGCCACTGCACCCGGCCATTTTTATACTTTTTAAATAATAGCCATTCTGACGGGCGTAAGGTGGTATCTCATTGTGGCTTTGATTTACATTTCTCTAATGATCAGTGATATTGAGCTTTTTTTTCATAAGCTTGTTGGCCTCATATATGTTTTCTTTTGAAGTGTCTGTTCATGTCCTTTGCCCATTTTTTTAATGAGGTTGTTTGTTTTTTTCTCAAAGATTTGTTTAAATTCCTTGAAGATATTGGATACTAGACCTTTGTTGGATACATAGTATACAAATATTTTCTTGTGTTCTGTAGGTTGTCTGTTTACTCTGTTGATAGTTTCTTTTACTGTGCAGAAGCTCTTAAGTTTAATGAGATCCCATTTGTCAATTTTTGCGTTTGCGGGGTGTCAGAATCCTGAGCCTAAGGCAACTTCATCAGTCACAGCCAAAAGCACTAGAGAAAAAGGGAACTTTGTTGAGGTTTAGCCCAAAAGGGAAATCATCATCACATCAGCAGCTGCTTCTTGCTGACCTGGCATGAATGGACCATGTACTCTGGATAGGCACTTTACAAAAACCACAGAACTTTGCCAGCTTAGAGTTTCCACATTGCCCCACTGGCTTTCCCTGAATTACCATGGCTGATGCTAATCAATGATTCTGTGTGGGCCATTATGCCACCGCTATCAGCTAAGGTAATAAGAAAGTCTTTGTTAGTGTCATTCCAGTTTTACAGCTTTCTATCTGCAGTGCTGTATTTTCAGGTTCTCTTACCTCTCTAGTCTTTTTCACACAGTCCCTGCAGGGATTTTTCTTTCTGCTATGCAGTCCAGGCCACTTCAGACTTTTCTTGCTTTCTTCCGTGAATATCACAGACTGGCACTCTCCACAGCCTTAGCTCCAATTAATTCTTTGTTTGATTTCCAGCCAACAGCCAGCAACTCTTTGGGTTTTACTCCTGGTTGCTTAAATAAATAAAGCAAATGTTAATTTGTTCTCAATGATTAAGTGCAGAGATCGTGTAACTGAAAATACTAATGATTTTCTAAGTGTCCACACTAGCACAGTAATGGTGTTGGATTTAGTTCATGTTTGGTGTAGTGGAGGGAGACGGATGCTCTTACTTTAACATTTTTTATTTGATTTGATTCTTCCAATAGCCTGGTAAAGTAGACAGTACAGGAATTATTGTTTATGTTTCACAGATGAGGAAACCAAGAAACATTAAATAACTTGAACCCTGCACAGGTCAGGAAAAGGTAACCACAGCTAGAACTCAGTAAACCTGACTCCCTGTTCCATGAAACTGTTGTAGGTGGTTCCATGTCCCATCGTGTTCTCCTGTGGAATAATAACACTTCATGTGATGTATTAATATTTGCTTAAACATTTTCTGTGTTTTCCAGAATGGCTTCCATGGAACAGCAGTTGTGTGAAATGCACTATAGGAAAAGAGTCCTGTGGTCAAATGACTATAATATGCTGTATACTGCACCCATTTCTTGGAAAGTCAGTACCTTAGTTAGCATATGAAAGCCTCTGAGAAGTCCTGCAGCAGTATAAGACTTGGAAATTTATTTTGACCCAGTATTGTCAAAATACATTTGAGCATGAGGAGACAAGAGTGAAAGCGGAGACACCATATCCCAGCAATACAGACAAGAGACGAAAAGTGTTTGTGCAAAGGAGGATGGCAGCAGAGGTGGTAAGGAGCAGGCGGGTTCTGAATATTTCAAATTCAGAGCCAATCAGATTTGCTGATGGATAGGATATAGGGTGTAAGAAAATGAGAGAAGTCAAGGATGACACTGAGATTTTTAGGGCTGAGCTACACATGAAGAGAATTTTCACTTCCTTCAGGAAGCTCTCCCTAGAATAATAACCACACCCTTACCATCATAACCCCTTGCTACATCATTATATCTTTGTTGATGACATTTTTGACAATGGCTGAGTTTGTCATTTTTGCTTGCTATTGTATCTCCAGTGCCTAGCCCAAGGTAGGCACCCAATAAATATTTGTTGAATGCATGAATGGACAGAGACTATCCAGTGGTAGTTGCTTAAATTGTAGCTACCATATTATTAATCAATCTAATATGCAGGTAATATTAAGAGAAGGTGACTAATTGATTTAATATGCTCAGCAAACTGACACAAGAACAGAAAAGCACCACATGTTTTCACTCATAGGCGTGTGTTAAACAATGAGAACACATGGACACAGGGAGGGGGGCATCACACTCTGGGGTCTGTCAGGGAGAAATAGGGGAGGGACAGCGGGAGGTGGGGAGTTGGGGAGAGATAGCATGGGGAGAAATGCCAGATATAGGCGACGGGGAGGAAGGCAGCAAATCACACTGCATGTGGGTACCTATGCAACAATCTTGCATGTTCTTCACATATATCCCAAAACCTAAAATGCAATTAAAAAAATGCAGTGCGGGGCTGGAGAAAGGTGGAAGAGGATTAACTGCTAACAGAAAACAAAACAAAACAAAAAAGACAGTCAGAAGTTCCATTTCTAATGAGAGCCATGCCCATATGTTTCTGAGTTGGCCTTGAGCAAGTCCCTTCACCTTTGACACCCATTCTTTTCATGCTACTCAAAAATAGATAAGACAATATGGTTTTCATCAGCCCTGCACCTTGCTGCCCATGGGTCTAAGTGGAAGCAATAGCTTTATCTTCAGTAATGTCATGCAGCACTCTTCAAGACAGAACCTGTCTGATTTAATGTTCCATTCTCTAGCACAATTTAAGTCCTTTAGGTAGCCAGAAAAGGGGAATACAATTGTTGCTGAAGTCACCAAGAAGACTTCCTGGAGGTTTTCTTTCTTCCTCCTTCCAAGACCTTTAAGTAGCAGATGAATACAGTGGTGTGTGGTAGAGAAAAAAAAAATACTTTACGGTTTGTACTCCTCTGGTTTAATTGACAAGACTGCAGTAGGAACCTGAGCCTTTTCTACCCCCTAAAGGACCATTGAGCAAAAGCTGCTTCCTCTTCGATGTATCACCATCCACCTGAATCTTGCCTTGCCTGTCTGAAAGAGTCCTTCTTTTCCCCTCCAGTTAGGAATGCACACACATACATATCCCATCTGGACATTTTTTGAACCATTCTCCCTAAAAACCAACCTTGGGTTCTTGGATCTGGCCAGCTTGCACGGACAGTAGCCTCACGACAATGCATATACAGGCCCACAAGGTTTCATTAGCTCTGTTTCAATGAGGGTAAGGCTCTTTTGGGTAAGGCTACCCGGAAAGTGATTTTTAGTTTCAGTTCATTTATTTTTGTTTTCCACCTGGCTGCCCAGGGCAAACAACTAACCAGAGAGGTTTTCCCTCTGGGGACCATCCTCTCTATCATTGGTTGCCTTGGTACAAACGTTGTACGTGTCTCCTAATGCTGAGGCCCTGCTAGACTATTTCTTTCCCCAGAAGAGGTCACTACCTGATTAAGAAAAACCGTAGCTTATGTCCAGCCCCCAGCCCGTCACTGCCACTCAACGCACAATTCTCTATGGCTAATATCCAAACCCAAAAGTCACCCACTCTTTCCTAATGTTGTTACCATTCATTTTATTATCATTGCTCTGTGAAAAATATTCAGGGTGCCATCTGCTTATTACTTCCAGTCTACCATGACAATTTTTAAAAATTTCCCCCTCAAAATGACCCTCTGCTGCTACTTAGCCTAGTTTATAGGTGAGAAGACTGAAGGACAAAGAGATGAACCGGCTTACACAAAGACTATTGACAGCAAAGGTTACATGAGAGTCTTTATCTCCTGATAACTTGTTCAGGTGTTGAAAGAGAAGGTGCCAGAATTTCATTGGCTGAGCCATTCTTCTAAAAAAGGAGGGGAAAAACTGGAACATGTGAACAATTCAAGGTGAGAAATGTCATCCTGTGAAAATAGACAGGAGGTGGCTCGAAAGCCAATGGTTTAGCTAGAGGGCACCTCAACAGTCTTTCTGGCTCTAGGGTTCCTTAAAAACAATGGAAACTAGGACACACACACAAAAAAATGACAGCAGAAGACCTCACCAACCCTTGCAGCCAGTCACAGGGACAAGATCAAAGGGAGGCCAATGCATCATGGATCCTTTTTCATTGAATGAAGTGCCTGCGACATGTAGTATGTCACTCTGAGTTCTTGGTTTCAAGTTACATATGCAAAAAAAAATTGGGAAAGAGGGGTTGGTGACTTACTGGAAGTTTATCAGATATTCACAGCAACAGAAGACTTAGAAAACAAGAACCCTATATAGCAGTCTGGATGATAAAAGAAGAGGAAGCTCAACAATAATCTTGTAGGAAGAAGGAAGAAAATTGCTGAATACCATTCTGCAGCTGCCTGTGCTGTGAATAAATTTTACGTGCGTATTTAGCTTTGGGACATAGGTTCAGGCTTCAAAATCCCAGAAGCAAGTCACACAGTCAGGATTCAAAACCCAGAGGCGAGGTGGCTGAGGAATATAATGGGCCAAACTCTGGGTATTTGCTAAACTCTATCAACCTAGAGATGAAGAGAGGGAGGATTTAAAGTCTCTGACATCTGTGATAAGTAGAGGCCACTATTCTCTAACAATACCACAAAAAAGAGGCTCTGTACCAACCAGGAAGGAGTCTGCATGCTGGACAGCTCCCAAAATTAAAGTCTACAAGAGCCCACTACGCAGCAGGCTGGTATGCATCCCTGTAAGTTTAGTGGTTCTTCCAGAGCCCTAGAAGATACAGAACACTATAGCATCCATGGTTCATATAAATAATAGCTATGATTTAGTGATTCCCCTACTGTGTAGTGAGCAAAATAGGTACTATATTCATATAGTATCATATTTTATTTTCACCACAGCCCTATAATGGGTTTTGTTGATTCTGCTTTATAGAAGAGAAACTTGAAGAAATATCAGCAAGGCAAGATATTTCTAGAGTCAAACAATTTGCAAGGAGGATTAGAACTCAGATCTAGTTTTCTGTGCAAAGCTGCAGCTCTTTCCACTACCTGTTACTGTGCTCCCCAGACTAGAGAAGGCAATCCCGTATTTCTGCAGCAAGCACAGAAGAAGGATGATGGCTCCACAGGAGCCAAGTTGGAAAGATCATTTTTGAGAAGGGTTTGAACCAAGTTGGTGTCTGAAGTCATCCAAAAAAATAAATAAATAAGAGGAAAGCAATATACTACTGGAATAACCCCAACAATACATCACTTTCCATCTTTATGTATTATTATATGGCTTCAACAATAAATAGGCAAGTATTTGTTGAGTAAGACTGTATTAGATTCTATGGAGGGTAAGAGAACATATAAGTCAATATCTTTCTCTCTTCTCATTTAACTACCTTGAAATCATGTTGTTTTTCCTATATGCTTAAAAGATAACTAGCAGTTTGAATTATATAATTTCAGATATTAAGCAACAAGGGTCCTTTGGAGGGAAAGTCAGGAGAGTTTCACAAAAGCAGCAACACCGGGAACCCCCACTGAATATTAGGTTTGAACAAGTGAAATCATGATGGGGGGCACACCTGGAAGAGGACTGCTAAAGTGAAGGCACAGACACAAGAGAAGACTGGCCGACCTGGAGCTTAGAGTTCATAATACCATGTCGTAAGAGAAAGAATTAAAAAGCAGGTTGAGCTGGGTATGTGGCATGCACCTACAGTTCCTGCTAACCAGGAGACTGAGGCAGGAAGATCCCTTGAGCCTAAGAGTTAAAATCTATCCTGGGTAACATTGCAAGAACTTGTTTCTTAAAGAAAAGGAGAAAAAGGGGAGAAAAAGTTTAAGGGTATAAAAGCAGGTTGAAACAAGTAAATGCAGAGATTTTTGAATCATAGGCAAAGGGCCTTGACATTTATATGACAGGTGATAGGAATCTGAAGAAAATATTTGAACTTGTTCATATGTCTAGTACCTACTGCAATGTTTGGGCTCTACCAGGTATGTTTGCTAAGTGAGCAAATGAGTGAATGAATGCTATGTATAGAATGTGCTGGCATGGAAAGGGTTAAGAGTGTATTGCAGTGGCAGTCTGGATGGTATAGGATGGTGTTGGTTGATGTAGAAAAGGTATGAAAAGTTTGGAAGCAATGAAAAAGGTACTGTGAAAGGAAAAAAAAAGATTATACTTCACCATTATTTCCTGAGTGGTAATTTACATGAAAACAGGGGAAATTTTTCTAATAACCTCTAAATTCGAGAACTCATAACTCTACCAGTAGAGCTCAAGATGCTTATACATCTTTCTGGCAGTCAAAGATCTAGTCAGGGGAAGAAAATGAGAAGCATATTTTTAAAAGCAGAAAGTAAAAATATTAAAATGTGTGTTAAACTTTGGCAATAATATTTCACTGTTTCTCTAACTAGATAATTGAAGCTGAATTTACTAATGGTCAATGGAGAAACACAGGTCTTATTATTCCTAGTTTGCAGACGGGAATACTGAGGGTCAAAGAAGCCAGACATTTCACAATGACTTGATTCCAAGTAAATTTATTCTAAGACCATTTTTATTTTGTTTTGTTTTTGTTTTTTGATTATTACCACATGTCACAAGACTTGAGGAAGAAAAGAGAAAGAAAGATGAGAAAGATTCAATCCTAGGAAGCCTCCAAGGTAGATATCTCCACAAATACATGATGGGACTGTATTACAGTGAGGACCCATAGTTGAGTGTATGTAAAACTTTTCTCTCTACACAGGTATAGCACCCTCCTGCTTACCTGGGAGAATTTGCAGTGAATGATAATCCATTTTCTCTCAAGAGAGTCAGTAAATTGATTTTGTTTGTTTGTTTGTTGCTTTTGAAATGCACAGACTGCATGTATGTAGTTGGTACGTTTTTACAAGGCCCTGTTGGGTCAATAAAGGCCCACCTTTTCCATTTCTCCTCCCTGCATCATACAATCATCACATTCCAGCAGATGCTAGGGAACTCTCACCCAAGCCAATAAGCCCTAGAGTTACCTAAAGCTACAATCATTCCCATCGAACAAGATCTTGCAGTTTGGAACAAGTCCCATAGCTTCAGCAATCTGGTTTCTTAGCCAGGGCCAAGAACACTAATTTCCCCTCTCTGGAAGGTTTAGAAACCTGGGACAAGGTGTTCTTTGTGCTTTCTGCATCCTTATTCATGACACAGGATCTGCTGAAGAGATGACTGAAGCTTCATAAAATCTCTATGGGACACAGTGGAGCAGAAAGGCTTTGAGCCACCGTCGCCTTCATAGAGTCCAGCTGCTGCCATCAGCTCTGCAATAAAAGCTGAACAGAATGGCTGGCCACATCCCACAAGTAATGCTTCTTCATCATGATTCATTCAGGACCACTGAGTTCCACTGACAAGCTGGGGTAGTCCAGAGGCCGTCTCAGCCAAAACTACCTACTTCTTGGAAATTATCACCTAAGAAATGTGCTTGAGCTTTAAGCCCCAACAGCTGGTTGCATCTCTACAGGGCACTACTGAAGTTCATATCTCTTCACCTGCAGCACTGACTGCCTTTTCTCCAGTCCTCTGCTAACCCACCATTCAACCTTGCTCCTCTAAAAAAAAAAAAAGAAAAGAAAGAAGAAAAAAAGCCTTCTTCTGAAACAAAAACCCAGGGTTAATAGGATGCATACAAACTATGATAGCCAGGCATGCTGGCTCACACCTGTAATCCCAGCACTTTGGGAAGCCAAGGCTGGTGGGTCACTTGAGGTCAGGAGCTCAAGACCAGCCTGGCCAACATGGTGAAACCCCATTTCTACTAAAAATACAAAAATTATCTGGGTGTGGTGGTGGGCACCTGTAATCCCAGTTAATTGGGAGGCTGAAGCAGGAGAATCGCTTGAACCCACAAGGTGGAGGCTGTAGTGAGCCGAGATTATGCCACTGCACTCCAGCCTAGTAAACAAGAGGGAAACCCTGTTTCAAAAAAAAAAAAAAAAAGCAACCATTATAGACTAGTGCAGCCAGACAGAATGGAGCAGCGTAATGGTGATCATTGATGAATCATGGTTATGCAGGATTTTGCTCTCATTCCTATAAGCGACTCAAGTTCTCAAAGATGTCATCCTTCTCTTTAGCCAAGTTCATCATACAAAACTTTTTCTTTTTTATGTGTATTCTCCAGAAGTGAAAATAAAAGGGAGGGGGTGGGTAAGATTGAAATTATTGCCATAGATTATTGGAAAAGGAACTTGGTAAAGCCTTTGTGAAGAATAATTAGGCAGTATTCATCAAAACCTTAAAAAGTACAGGCCCTTTAAACAGAAACACCACTACTAGCTATTTATTCTATGCTGACAGGAACAGAGCTAGGGGTTGAGGTTATAGAGTTAAGGTGCTCTGAGCTTTATGGTAAAAATACTAAGAGACTGTGGATTATGGACATGGCAGCCCTGTGAACGACGGCCCATAGATGCAGAAAGTAGAATGCTCCAGACTCTGTCCATGAGAGGAGGGCCATGCCTAGCAAAGCCCAGTGAGAACCCACAACTTTGTTACAGTGATAACTGCAGGATTCTCAGTGTGCTTTCAGTCATCCCCAAGTGCTTCATCCCACTGCTCCAGAAATGAAAAGTTCTTGGCCTTGCTCTTGGAACTAATTAAGACCTTTAAGACAAGAATCCTTAAGGGGATTCCCTGAGACCAAGAATAGGCATTTCCTATAATCATGATCAGCTATTTCTCACTCTCTATCAGACCAGTGAAAATGACCAAAGCAGATAAAGAGAATGAAATAAGCTAGAACTCAAGACCGTGGAGTTGTATTGAGGCAGAAGCTGCCCTAAGACCCAATACAATGGAGTTCTCCCTCTCACTTTGTGTTTCGCCTCTTCTGAAAGCTCTCCTAGCTAAAGATGTATACAAAAGCATACACACAGGTCCTACTCACATACACTCAGACACATACATGCATGCATGTGCACACATTCTCCCAAAACATATATTATTGTAAAATATCAGAAGGAAATGACCTGTGAATTACTATAGCAGCACTTTTCCTTCCAAGCCAAAATTGTATTTGAGTCAGTGTCTGTGGCCCAAATGCTGTGTCACTGAGTGAGAATTTCATACGGCTGTGTGGGAAACTGGTCCGTAACCATGCTTGTTAAGAGCATTTAGTGTTCTAGCTGCAGCCATTCTGACATCTGTCTTAGAAATACATCAGGAGCTAATGGTAGAAAAAGAAGCAGTGTCATTCAGCTTAATTGGGCAATGGTTAGGACATCCTCCAATAAAGAAAGTAAGCAGGAAAACTGTGCCTGACCTCTCTGGGGCTGTTTATGAGTCCTGGGTTCAGGGATACACAGGATAAATATATCTGAAGTTGCCTAACCTCCTGGTCTGATTTAATTAGTAAACACTTTCAAAGGGATCAAGCTGACTTCTGAGACAAAGTCTACCACATACCGCAAAGGTGGGCAAATCAATATTTAAAGGGCACATCCGTGTAGGTGGAGGGTGGAGGGAAATAGATTAGAAACAGAGATGGGTTTACTTTGGGAGCTCTGTTGTGTAACTGCCCTTGACCTTGCCCCTTCCAGTGGCTAAACTTGTCCCTTCTCCAGGGCTTTTGTGGGACCTCTTCACTAGACACAGCCACCCAGCCTCAGAAAGAAATATACCAAAATACGGATTCACTTAACCTTATTATAGTCATGTCAGAGTTCTGCTCACAGAATATTACAATGGTCTTGAACGTCAGGGCTGAACAAGATCTACTTAAGGGTCTAGAACTAAACACTGCTATTCATCAAACTTGTATTAACATACAAATCGCTACTAAAGTTTTTTTTTTTTAAATCTAGCAATGATATAACCTAAAGGACTGACTCTTCAATGGTGGTGTTTCAGAAAACACCAGCCGTTGTCAACTGCACTTCTGCAAAAGACCAGCCCTGTCTGTGGCATTTCCAGACTCTTTATGCTTTTCCAGTGGCTTTTAGCCAATTATCACATAGTTCCCCACCACACTGTGCTGGAACAGCAACTAACAAGACTTCCCAGGTCACACAAAGACTTTGAAAGAATCAAAGTGCAAGCCGCACAAATGAACTATAATCAGTTCCACCTCCACTGTTAACACTCTGGAGAACGTGGCATAGAGAGATTTTCATAACTGGGTTTAAAACTAGGAGTCACACTTGGAATTGGAGTTCAATTCTCTGATGTGGTTCAGATGGGAGACTAATATGAACTTCTTAATATACTTTATTTCACATATCAGGAGGGAGATGAGGCAGGGAAGTAAAGAATACCATTCTTGGAGCACCTGCTGAATTCCAGGTATGATATTCTAGGGATGATATGCTGCTGTCCATTCACTGCCTCACTTAATCCTCATGGCAAACTAGGTATTATTATTCCTATTTCACAGAGAAAGCTGAGGCTTAAGTACTTCAGATGGGCTACACACAATTCAGTCTGTTTTGTTTTTGCTGTTTGATTTGTTGGTCGGTTTTTTGTTTTATTTTGTTTAAGTTTTTGTTCGTTTTGCTTTGTCATTTACACATTAATCATTCATTCAGCAAAAATTATAAAATACTCGAAGACAATAACTTTGTCTGAATTTATCCCTCTCTATTCCCAACATTCATCTGAGTGCTAGACTCATATTCATTCATTTATTCATTCAAAACATATTTACTATACAACAGGAATACAGCAGTGAACAAAATCAAAAAGGTGCTTGTTATTATGAAGCTTACATTTTAGCGAACAAAGACAATCAATTAATAAATAAGCAAGTTGAAAAGATGTAAGGAAGAAAAGAAGGAAGGGAGGGAGAGAGAAAGAGAAAGGAAAGAAGGAAAAAGGGAAATTATGAAAAAGTGAGGCATATCAAGCAGAAAACTGAGATTGGAAGATGTGATGGAGATGATACCTCGAATTGAGTATTCAGAACAGGATTCTCAAAAAAAGGAGAACTTCAAACTTAAACTTGAATGAAAAGAAAGAGGAAGCCACAGAAAATCAAGGGGAAGATATTGTAGCCAAAGAAACTGCAAAACCCTGACATGGAAAGGAAATTTAAGGGCAAAAAAAAAAAAAAAAAAAAAAAGCAGAAAAAAAATGAAGGTGACTAGCAAAGGTCAGTGATTCAGAGAGAGAGAGTCACAGAAGATGATGTCAAAGAGATGGTTAGGAGCCAGGTGACATAGGACTTTGTAAGCCACAGTAAGAATCATTCATTAAATATGTGTTGAATGAATAAATGCACAGGCCTTGGAGAACTGTGAGAATGTAAGGGCCAGTAGCCTTTTAGGAATTTAT